TGCTGCTGCTGCTGCGTTTCTTGCCGCGTCACCAGCTGCGCCAGGTGCCCCAGACCCTCCATTGTCAGCCCAATCTCATCATCAAGAAGACGAACACCTGCAGCCGGTAGCCGCAGCGCTGCACAGACACCCTCAACGTACGCGCGGTCTTGCCGACATGCGTGCTTGTGGTCTTTCGCGCCCGCGACAAGAGGCCCGTAACGCGCACAGAAGAGAGAAAACGGAAGCTTTACATGGAGCCGATCATCCTCCGCTGAGCGCAACAGCAGGCGTGAGGAGAGAGAGGCCTCCACACCCAACTGCATCCTCTTTACTTCAGCCGCACTCGGCAGCTGCAGATGCACGGGTGCGGCGACAAGATGAAGCCCAACCATCGTGTCTTCCACGTCACACTCCAACGCGACACGTGCCCGCCAGAAAAGCCGTCTGTATCGCCGCTGCAGCTGGTCGATGTACTCCGCCTCCAGCGTAGTCCAGATGGGAGATCCATCGACCAGCCCTTTCTGCTGGAGCAGCCTTGGGTCGAGGCACCCCCGCAGCTGCAGCAGACCCTCTTCATGTCGTCGCTCCGAGATGTCGCTTGGCAACGACGGGAACACATGCCACGGCGACAACGCGTACCGCACCTCACACTGGGCGTGACGCAGCAACAGCAACAGAGGCTCATTCGCGCCGCCCAAGGCGACGCGTAGGAAAGAAAACTCACTGCGCTGTCGTGACGCCCTCGACGCGTCGAGAACTTTCCGCACCTGCGTGAGCGCACGTTTCTGCCAGCGCGCTGGGCTGTCGTCGAGGCAGCGAACGGCTCCGTTGACCATCAGGTCAGTGAACCACGAGGACTGCGCCACAATATCATTTCCATCATCATCTTCGTCGTCGGACCAGAGAGGAATTTCAAAGAGACACCGCGTCCCACTCATGCGTCGCGCCCCACCGTCACCGCCACTGATGGAGCTTCTGGCGGCGGTGGCGTTTGCGGCGTCACAAAAGAGCGGTGCCACGTCGTCGTTGCGTACTGCTTGGCGCAGCTGCGCTTCAAGCAGGAGGTCGCTCAGAAGATTAACAGGCAGAAAAGACAGCGGGAGGGCACGTGCGGTGGCACCGCCTGACGATTGCACAGCCCTACCCACAAGAACGGTGAACCTCGGCAACAACTTGCTGGTGCTGCTGCTGCTGTATGCAGGAGCAAACTGCGCAGCCAGCTGGCTGAGCGCCGCGTTGGTGGTGAGGCGGATCCACTCGGAGAGAAAATGGTACAATTCGTCCGCCACGCCGCATAGTCGGCGCACCTGCGTATGAGAGCTCTGACTCCTGGTGGCGCTGCTGCCACTCCCCGGGGGTGCAACGAACTCAACGCAGGTTGGTTGTTCGCTGAGGAAGTCCGCAACAGATCTATCCGTAATTGTCGCCGCGATGCGCGCATCAAACTCCTGCAGATCATCATAGTCAGCACCGTCATAGTCGGCGTAGTGATGTGCGTGAAGCGCGTTCTTCTTCTTCCTTTTCCTTTCAGTGCCAGCACCCGCACTGTGACTGCCTCGCTCGCCAAGGATGCCCAGCAGCAGCAGCAGCCCCTCGCGATCGCGGCACTCGTCACGCGGCTTAACGAGGCCGTCCCCGTTGCCGAGGCCTGCCACGAGCTCCACCTCTAGCGCGAGCAGAAGCGCACACAACGTCCTCACAAATACTGCCACATCGGCTGGCGACATCAAGGCGCGCAGGCGGCCCTCCAACCACTGCCACCGCTGCAGTCGCGTGGTGGCGACGTGCTCAGCAAGCCTCGTGGCTGTGACGTACCGGTGCACCCATGCAGCGATGCGACGGCTCCCACTCAACTCTTGCAGACTCCACTCGGGCGCGCACGCCATCGCGAGCAGCACCGAGTTATCTGTCCACGGCCGCACAAGCAGCGGGGAGCTGTGCAGAACGTCCGCGGCGACCGACAACCGCGGTTCCGTCACCTTCGCCGTAACAGTGAAGCACATTGCAGGGTGGGACCAGCAGAGCAGGAAGCCCAGCGCATCCTGCAGATAGCGCACAAGGGAATCTACATCGTGTTGCTGCTGCTGCTTCTCCCCACGATCAATGCAGGGTAGGCGGTGGTGCAAGAAGAGACTCATCAGTTCCGTAACAAGAGGCACAGTAGAGGGCAGTGTCACCGTTGATGTGATGAGGACACGCGCTCCCTTTGCGCGGCAGCGGCGACGCTTGTTAGACGATTGCGGCGACAACTCTCCGTTGCCTTCCGCCCACTGACGCCGCACGTGGTCAAATAACTGCCGCGCCATCGGCTTCACCGCAACAGCAGCCTCCTTCTGCCTAGAAGAGAAAGGCGGCGCCTTCATGGGGCATGCCCCCACTGCTGGAACAGTTCTTTTCGTTTGCCGTGAATCATTCGCATGCCTGTGGGGGGCCGCGTCCCCGCATGGGATAGCGGCGACGGCGTACGCTGGGTGCGCAAACAGGAGCGGCTGCGGCAGGCGGCGGAGTGCCTCGACGACGGACAAACTCACGTCGCGCGGATCCGCCATCCAGCAAGCCGCGACTTTATCGCCCTCAACGCTGCAGCAAAAATAGAAGAAGAAAATAAGGAGCGCAACGACGATGACATACCAAGAAACTCGAAAATATTGCAACTTCTACGCATGCACTAATGAGCGAATGCATCTTTCACTCATCCTTCGTCTTCTTGGTGTTGGTGTTGTTGTTGTTCTTCTTCCTTCAACTCGAGTTAACCGCCTTAAACAGACTTCTTTCCGCCCCCCACCCACCCAACGCATTCACTTCGAGGGGCAATGGCGTGACAAGTGGAGGTCCGAGCCGCAGTGCTTGCACTGGTCCTTCGATGTGCGCACTACAGCGGGTCGCTGCGGCCGATCCTGCTGTAGCTGATGATGTTGTTGTCGCTGTTGCTGTTGCTGTTGTTGTTTCGGTTGCGGCTTGGAGTGCTCCTGCTGCAAGGCCAGCGGTTTGCTTCTTTCGCCGTGATCCGCCACACTGACGGGCACAGGCAACTCCTGCGGCCTCGGCGCTTCATCCGCCGCGTTCCCGCCGTCACAGTGCCGAGTGAAGTGCGCCGAGGAGCCGCACTTCTGGCAGCAGTTCTGCGGGAACTCATTCTTCGCGCCACGTCGGTGTGACTGTTGGAGCCGTGACGTACCCTCCGTCGCAGTATCCACCGCCACGCAACTATCGGTTGCAGCTGCCGATTCCACAGCAATTGCTGGTGCTGCCGATGTTGACTCTTCGCTGGAGGGATCGGCAGTACACTGTCGCGTGAAGTGCGTCGTCGAACCACACCGACGGCATGCGTCCCGCGAAGAGGCCGCCGCCGCACTCCGCTTTGGCTCCCGCTCCACCGTCTGTGCCGCGTGCCCAGCGGCGTCCTCCGCACCGGACGGGCGCAGCCGCTTCTGTGCGTGCGACCTTTTGTCCCGGGGCCCCTCCTGGTCGCCTGCCGCAGTTGGGCGGGGCTGCGGCACCTGGCCGCCGCAGCTGTAGAGCTCCTCAATGGTGACGGGGCTCGGCACGACCTGCAGCGGAGTGCCTCGGAACCGCAGCCGTCCAAAGAACGACATACAGCTTTGTCCGGCGGCACCGTCAACATTCGGAGCAGCAGCAGCAGCAATGGTGGCGGCGTTATGAGCCGCAAACAACTCTGCAAGTGTGCAGTCCTCATCAAGGTTCACACTGCCACCGCCGTGGGTCTCAGCAGCTGCAGCAGTAGTAGCAACACTGTTTGGCAACGCGGGCCCAATGGCGCGCCACACGGCCTCCGCTTGCGTGTCGCCCTGCAGCTCCACCAGCGCAAAGCGGCGCTTGCCAAACCCCGCAAAGGCGCTGCGACGGACGCCACCGTCAAAGAGGAGTTGAAGAAATGACTCGTCCGCAACAGAGGGCAGCGGGTACACCATGAAGCACCGCCGCGTCATTAGTTCCCTAGAGTCGCGTCTCCACGTAGCAGCCACCACCACTCAGTACCTTCTCAGAATGCATGAGGGGGGCGGTGAGCCAACAAAAAAAAGGAAAAAGAAAAAAAGTGTGGGGCGCTGGTTAAATGCGGTGCAACACCACACAGTGCAGAGAGGACCTAATGGTCCACAATCAACAAAGAAAAAAGGGGGAGGGGTGATGATAAAGGGAGTAGAGAATTGGCACCGCCATCCCTGAGGAAGGCAAGAGCTGTAAGCAAAAATGAACATCCCATCATCTTTTTTTTTCTTTATGCTCAACGTTCCACACTGTGTTCCGCTCAACAAGAGAAACAAAGACAGCATTTCTCTCTCTCTGTGTGTGTGTGTGTATGTGTGTAACTGTACCAGCCACGACAATATCAGTGGTATACTGAGCCTTCTCACAACCTGCAGCAGCAGCAGCAACAACACAGGGAGATCAAGAAGAGGAAAGGTCAGTAAAAACGTCGGGAGAAAGAAAACACCTTCCAAGACCCATAAACGCAGAGTATCCTCTACTATAGTTCCATTATGGTAACACAGGGAACAAGCACAAACAAAAAGAAACGGTCAGCAATACAAAAGCAGGTCCATTCAAAAACAAACGCTTCCCTCGAGAGGGCTGTGGTAACCAAAATGTCCGGTAATCAGGGGGACTGGAGCAGGCGTAAGCTACGCTACCCCGATATGTACATGGTGAATACTTTTTGGTTCCCTCTCTTATGTCACCCTCGCATTGTCCTACAATACATCGTATCCCCTCCCCTCAATGGTGTGACCACGACGCCGGGAGCTCCACCGGCACACCAATGCGCGGTACGCCCGCCGCCTTCTCCGTGGAGCCTTCAGAGTTGGACACGTAGCGCTTCATACGAATTGCGTAGAGCCGCATCGGCCCTTTGCCCCCGAGCATGGTGTTTTGACCTCGCATCCCATCTGTGGCGGCGGGGGCACCATCGGCAGCACCACAGTGCCCAGGCGGCTGTGGAACAGAATACATCGATGTGACGTTGCTGCTGCTACCACTGCCGCCACAACCACTGCCGCCGCCGCCAGCCGCCGAGAGGCGGCCGAACTCCCCCCAATCAATGGGCACCTCCGCCGTGCGGCTGAATGTGCGGCGGCGTACACTGTCGCTGCGGGGTCGCCGCACCGAAGAACGACGGCGCACGCGCTCGGCGTGAACCGACATCGCCAGCTCGACACTTTGAGTTTTGACAGCAAATGACGCATCTATCATGTGGTCTTGCTTCGTTGCCGCCTCCGATGGTGGCACCGGCGCTGTGTGATTAAGAGGTGGCACGGCTTGGCTGCTAGCGTTACTCTTCGCAGTGCAGGTCGTGCCACCACAGCTGAGCGCCGCAGAGCGACTCTGCAACTCTGCTGTGTTCGATGTGACGCCGTAGCAGACCCGCACGCCCTGCTCAGCCTGATCACCGCTGCTGTCGTCAGTCACGAGAGCATCGCGCCCTTCATTTGGTAGGCAGAATATAGTGCGATCGTGAAAGTACGGTACCTCAGTCACGCCGGTGATAGTAGCTGTTGAGGGTTTGGTTTTGGTGTCCTTGGAGGCACACGGGAGTGTGATGCGCCCAGCAGGGGCGGTGCGCCCCCTCCGCTGCTGCTGCTGCTGCTGCCAGCTCTCCGTCACCAGCGACTGCAGAAACAGCTTCTCGTGCCGTGATAAACAGCGCCGGCTGGGCGATACGGCCGCCTTCCTCCAGCGAGGCAGTTCCACAGCAGTAGTAGTAGCAGCAGCAGCAGCGGAACCACCAGCGCCATCCCTAGCCGACAGCTCTGCGTGGCGCTTTGCGTGCGGTCGCCACATAGTGATTTGATCCCGCATCCGCTGGATCTTCCCCCAGCGGTACGCGCGGTCGTCTGGCGGTGGGAGGTAGAAATCCAGTCTAGACGACATTGCTGCGCAGTCGACTATATCCCCTCGTCGTACTGTCTTTTTATCTTTTTTTTCTTGTTGCTTTCTTTATCGCTGTTGCCTCGTTGCCGCACCTACCCAGACGCACACACAAGCACACCACGCTGCCCCCGCTCTTACCCCCAGAACACTAAACCTTTGTTTTTTTTCCCCCATTTTGGCCGTGCGTGTGTGCCGCACAGCGCGCAGAAGAAGGAAGGAAAGAAAGATATTATATATATATATATATATAGAGAGAGAGAGAGAGAGGTGGGCATCAACACACACACAGACACATGTGCGTGATGGCGTTCACACTTCAGAAGTGGGCAGTGTAGGCGTGATGCCCAAAGGAGTGGGGCTCGTACCCTTTTTTTGTCCCTTTTCGATTCCTTTCTCATTCACAGATTATTGTGTCGGATGGGTGATGGGGAGACTGACGCGGAGGGCGGCGCACAAGGGCCTCGACATGTGTACCAAAGCAAACAAAGTGGAGGCGACGCACACATAAACGCACGCACACTGCTGCTGGGCGGGGACGAATACAGCAGTGGAAATATCATCACAGTATGAATAATGAGAATAATACTGACTAGAGAAAGCTGCCGTTCCGTTGCCTCCCCCGTCGCTGCACACACACACACACACACACACACACACACACACACCGAGATATATATATATATATATATATATGCATAGCAAATAATAATAATAATAATAATAATAATAGTGGTAAGACGCATACATATACATATACATATATATGTATGTGTACACACGTGCAGGTATTGATACACATCGAGTCTACGTGTGTGCGTGTGTGTGTACAGATGCGGGACCGGGAAGGGGAACAACGGCAGAAGCTCACAATAATAAACCTTCCACACCATTGGTAGAGGGGGGAAGAATGCAGACAAGTACATACACATACACACGCCCACACAGGCACACCCATACAATGAAAACAAAGCAACAAAGGGCATTCGATGCAAACCTAAAGAAATCCAAGCGAGGCAAATGGTGAGGAGTACCTGGAGGCAGCGCACCTTCTACGCCTGCCGTTGTCCTCACCATATCACTAATGCTTTGAAGTTCGCCGCGCTGCATAGGCGATGCCGACGTCTGTGTGTTTTTCCAACTCTGTTTGTTTCTTCTTTCTGTTTCGTTTCCAAGAAAACCGTCGTGCCTCCCACCCCGCACATATGCCACATACATACACACAAACGTACATATACATACATGCCGTTGGGGGGTACAAGACGGCTCCCTCACCGAGGAGGGGTGGAGCAACACGCACAGGCCGCCGGGCACCGCCGGGGAAGGTAAGGACGTAGAAAATACACAACCCACCGCCAGGCAGCAGTGGCAGTAGGAGCAATACCAGTGGCTGCCGTGGCAGGGGGGGTAGCGGTGAGGGGGGATGAAAAAACAGAAGAGGGAGGGG